CTCGTGGTTCGCTTCTGACTGTCGTGCTTCGTGCCTGGGTGAGGGGAGGGGGGGGGGCGGGGGGCGGGGGGGGTGTGTGTGTGTTTCACAGCTGAATGTGAAGCAGCTATCAGTAATGAGGGTGTTGTTTCAGTCTGTTGTGGTGAAGAAAGCGTTTTGTCGAAACGCAAAGCTCTTGATTTACTGGTCTACCGATGCTTCAACCTTCACCTCTGGTCTTGAGGTTTGGATCAAAAGAACGAGATCCCAGATACAAGCGGTCTCCTTCCTTCATGGGGGGGGCCGGGCTCAGCTTTCGAGATAGGGTGAGAAGCTTCGTCATCCTGGGGGAGCACTTCATCGAGCCGCTGCTCCTTTACATTAAAAGGAATCAGCTGAGGTGGTTTGGACATCTGATTAAGAAGCCTCCTGGACACCTCGGTTTTCTGAGCATGTCCTACTGAAGGCCCTGGGAAAGACATACAGTAGAACTTGGAGGAAGGATTGTGCGTCTTCTCTGGCCTGGGAACACCTTGAGGGTCACCAGAAGGAGCTGGAGAACGTTGCTGAGAGTTTCTCTCCTAGATCTGTTGCCTCCAAGACCAGGTAGAAGAAGGAGATGGTGACTGTTTTTAAAGTTATCTAATGTATTTGGAAAATAATATTGTTTTTGTTGCCTGAATTGCCTGGGGTGTGACTTTCTTCACTTGTTCTCTCTCCGGCTAAAAAGGACGTAATAGTATTCACAACACTGCAGGCCAGATAAAGCTGCGAAAACAAAAAAGTCAGCAGCTCCACCAACATAATCAAGTTGAATTAGAAAAGTTTATTTTCTTTTAACTTTTTGAAAGTAATCCGTAGATGCACCTCTACAACTGGTTAATGTTTGGAGTTACAGGTGGCCAAAAAAATTCAGCAAACTGTACAGATATTGACTTAAAAGTTAGTGTGGTAGTAACTGAGAGTCATAATCAACATTTCTGAGCAACAGCTTTCACGTCTTGTGAGACAACAAAATATTGCATGAGCTTGAGCAAAACGTCATTCATCAAATTTGACCAACGCAGCTATAATTTCACACAAAATTAATTTTAATTGAATTTCTGGCACAAAAGGTGGCAGGCCAATATGCATCCCTTTATTTTTTTATTTTTACTTGCGTAATAATAAAAAAACAACATTTTTTATAATATGGTTTTTATCTTAAAGCAAGTCTGAGATTAAAAGCAGTGAACATTTTTGCCCATAGGGCAAGATTGCACAACATCACAACTGACAACTGAAGACAAGGAAACAGATACTGCTTAGAGCTAAAACTGAAAAAACTTCAAATATTACAACCACTTAATTTGAGTGGCACATGAAAAATGATGACAGCAGCATCATGTGACGGCTGCTGCTGCTCGACAAGGCAGAACACTCACTCGCATGTGACTTGTAGACCAAGACCATCTAATGTTGAGAAATGATTGAGTTGTAGCTGTTATACCACTACCAAACCATACCACTCCACACTAGGGGTGCACCAGTTACAGTTTTTTGGTCGATGGCCGATCACCGATTTCAAACAAGTCTGAGCTGCCGATTCCGATTTTGGCCGATACCGATTTTGTTTCATAAGCGACACTGTCAGGTGTTATAAGGTCACAATGTACCATCAAATTTCCAGTCTTATTTTATTGAAAAACATACCCTTGAACAGTATCCTAGAAACAATATAAACTTGTTTTAACTGGCCATGAGGTAGTGCTCTGAAATATAAATGAAGTTCAGACAATTGCTGTTAAAATAAAAAAAAAATAAATAAATAAAAATGAAAAAAAATTCGGTAAAATCAGTTTCTCATGCATCGGCCGATTTCTGATTTCCCAAAATTAAGGAAATCGGGGCCGATAAATATGCCGGACGATGTATCGGTGCACCACTACTCCACACCATACCATATCATACCACACCACACGATACCACACCATACCATACCACACCACACCATACACCACACCATACCACACCACACCATACACCACACCATACCATACACCACACCATACACCACACCATACACCACACCACACACCACACCATACCACACCATACCATACCACACCACACCACACCACACCATACACCACACCATACACCACACCATACCACGCCATACACCACACCACACCACACCATACCACACCATATCACACCATACCACATCACACCACACCACACCCCACCACACCATACCACGCCATACACCACACCATACCATACCACACCATACCACACCATACCACACCATACCACACCATACCACACCATACCACATCACACCACACCACACCAAACCACACCACACCACACCAAACCACACCATACCACACCACACCAAACCACACCATACCACACCACACCATACCACTTTATTTATAAAGCACTTAAAACAGTGAGGGAGGAGCCTGCCTGACATGCTGTGGTAACTCATTCCACAGTTTTGGACCTGCAACAGAAAAGGTCCTGTCACCTCTGAGCTTAAAATGAGTGCCTGTAACCAATAGAAACATCTGATCTGCTGACCTCAGAGAGTGCTGTAGGACATATGGCTGCAGCAGATCAGTGACATACGAGAGGCAGAACTGTTCAGAGATTCTGCAGCACGACGGCTCAGTGGTTAGTACTGTTGCCTCACGGCAAGAAGATCCTGGGTTCAATCCCCGGTTGGACCTGGGGTCTTTCTGTGTGGAGTTTGAATGTTCTTCTCGTGCTTGCATGGGTTTTCTCCAGGTACTCCAGTTTCTTCCCACAGACCAAAAACATGCATGTTAGGCTGCTTCAGGTCCAGGCCTCCCTTGCAAAAGAGATCTGTGATCTCAATGGGATTTGCCTGGTTAAATAAAGGTTAATAATAAAAATGTAAAAACATACAGAAGGATTTTAAAATGAATTTGGAAGTGAACTGGGAGCTAGTGAAGGGAGGCCAGAACTGGAGTAATGTGCTCTCTTTTGCCTGTACCAGTTAAAAATCATGCTGCACCATTTTGAGCCAGTTGCAAATGTGCAGTGGAAGACTGACTGATTCCAAACACAAGTGCACCGCAGTAATCAAGCCTGGATGTTATGAAAGCATGTATTACTGTCTCAAGTTTACTTTTGGACAAGATGGGCTTCAATTTAGTCGCCTCAACTGAAAATAACAGGATTTAACAATCATGTTTACATGACTGTTTATCTTCATGGAAGGGTCCAGTTTCACTCCCAGATTAGTGACAACCTGTTTCTCAAACAGAGCTAGAGAGGAAAGGTCAGTACAGGGTTCCTGGTTGTGCCATTAGGTGAAAACAACATGATATGATTGTTGTTGCATAGTTTTGTTTGTGCATGTGTGAAACCATTAATCGTGTACGTATTAGTGTCCAGGTACACAGCTGTGATTGGAGAAAGACACCGAGGAGCTAAACGGGGATTGGCTGCCTGACGAGAGGTGCTGCATAAAATGAGAAGTGGAAGTGATGACGTCGGCTTCCACTCACTCTGAGCTTCCCAACCAGCCACAGCTGACCTGCTGTCACTCAACGTCAAATCTAGTAGTTGTAAATCGTTTTGTGAGAAGTTTGCTAGTTTAAGACCTTTTCTCATGTTATTTTTTTTTTGTTATTGTTGTTGTTGTTGTTGTTGTTATAGTGAGGTATGAGACCTTTCTGTTAATTTTATTTGTTCAGGTAAGAGAAAATATAGTGATGATAGTTTGTTGTGTTGTTTTGGCCTGGGCTCACCCTGAAGTTGGTAAAACTCCAAAAAGTCAACAATTTAGCTATTGTAAATAAAATCACTGCTTTATCCGTGGCTGCTTGAGTGGTGCAGAAGGTGGAACCACCCATAATTAATTACACCCCGGCGGCTGCGTTAGCTCCGGGTTGCAATAATTGGGGGCTCGTCCTAAAACATTTCTCTAGTTTGGTAAATTCTAACAATGTTCAGAAACCATCCAGCTGACCTGACTGAACATTGTTGGATTTGCACCTGGATTATTGAGCATAAACTTTGGTGTTTGGTAAGTTCTGTTTTCTCTGTTTGGCAGCTTTGTTGATGTGGGAGGAAATGAAGGATTGTTCCATTGATGATTTTGTGTTTTGTCCCTCGTTAGAAAAATTGAATGAATGTAAAAAAAAAAAAAAAAAGCAGAACTGCTCATTGTGGCTAATGTTTATGATGTTCAAGTGTCTTACAAAGCAAAGTTAAAGCAGACCTTGTGTGACCAGCTGGTGGGAAAAGGTGTGCTAATCTCACCAGTTCAAAAAGCAGATGTCGCAGTGGGAGCGGCTGCCTTTGCAGCAGAGGTGGGTTCCGTGCCCGTCTCTGATACTGAACCAGACCCGGTCTCTGGTCCTCGTATGTCTACCGAGGATCGTCACCTACCCCTCGGTATAAAGGAGGGGGAGACCTGCAACAAAGAGATGGAGCTGTAATGCATCTCCGCTCTGATAACCTGCTTCTGCGTTGGCACAGACGCCTCAAAGCACACACGTTCTACTTCTGCAGGGTTTGACATTGGTAAGAACATAACATCAGTGCCCCTGTTCCACGACTCTGAGGTAGACTGTTATTTCACTGCTTTTTAACGCATGCTGCTTTAAGTTGGCCAAAATAATTCTGGTCTTTGTCATTACAGTAATTAACCTGGATGTTATGAAATAATGTATTACTGTCTCAAGGTTACTTTAGAACAGTATGGGCTTCAGTTTAGACAGTCGCCTCAAACGAAAAAAAAACCCTACAGGATTTAACAATGGTGCTTGCATGACCATTTAGCTTCATGGAGCTTCACTCCCAGATTAGTGACAACCTGTTTCTCAAACAAGAAAAGTCAGAGGAAAGTTCAATACAGGGGTTCCTGATTGTGCCATTAGGTGGAAACAACATGACTTCTGTCTTCTTATCAAAATTTAAGAAATTTAAAGCCATCCAGTCCCTGATGTCAACCAAGTAGTCAAGAAGAAGTTGGATAGAGTATGCACCAGTGTGCTTCAGAGGGAAGTAAATTTGACCGTCATCGACTTAAAAATGAAAAGAGATGCCCCGTTTACAAAAACAAAAAGCACCTAGTGGCAGCAGGTATAAAGAAAAGAGAAGGGGTCCAAGAATGGAGCCCTGCGGTACATTATGCACAATCTCATTTGATATCACAGGGCGAAACAAACATTTGATCACAAACAATGATGAGTCCAGCTACAGGCAAGAGGTGGAACACCTGGAGAGCTGGTGCAGAGAGAATAACCTTCACATCAATGTGAAGAAGACAAAGGAGATGATTGTGGACTTCAGAAGGAACAAAAACACCTACACCCCCCTGAA